ACAGAGGGCCAGAAGACCGGTGGAGCGGCCAAAATTCGAGACGCGTTTTGAGCTCCAGAGTCGCAAAATGGGCCTCGAACCGAACGTGTGACCCCACCAATGGATTGCTCTCCGAACGAGGAATCCATTGGTGGGGTCACACGTTCGGTTCGAGTCCCAATTAGCGACTCTGGAGCTCAAAACGCGTCTAGAGTTTTAGCCGCTCCACCGGTCTTCTGGTCCACTGTGCCCCGTCGGGGTTGGCCAAGGCGGGCCAAGGCGCGCGGCCGGACCGGACGCCGTTTCCAGAAAGGGGCCAAAAGCGGCGCGGCGGAAAACGAGCGTGCGAACGGCCCCCGCGTAATCAATGCGATTGTATTGGGCGCCGCGCCGCCGCCGTGACCGTCAGGCCGTCATCGGGCGCATCTCGGCCGAGAGGTTCCCGCAGCCGCGTTCCCACCGCGCGCTGACTCAACTCGAGCATTCCCTCATCGCGGTAATCAGACCGGCAAAAGTGACGCGGCAGCAGCAAGGCAGCATCGGGTCAGCGTGGACGCCTGTGTGGTCTAGCCCTTAATGGTAATGGTAATGAGGCGCGGGCAGGCCCGCCACGCAGCGCTGCCTTGCGGCGTTGCCTACCCCGCACTTCGCAGGCGCTACGGCGCGGTGTTGCCTCGTCGCCGTTAGATTCGTCGGAGCGTCCCGTCGGGCGCAGCCGAGGGACCCAGAAGACCCGTCTGTCTCTCTCGCTTCCTGACGCAGGGAGCCCCGTGAGTGCGACAGAGACAGGGCGACGAAACGCCTCTTCTGAATGGCCCGGCAGACAGCGGGGGCGATTAGGCATTCACGGTGCGGCTAAGTAGCGGCGGAAGGACCCGGCGCGAACAATGCACACCTCGAGGCGCGCGCGCGCGTGTGTGTGTGTGTGTGTGAGTGTGTGTGTGTGTGTGTGTGTCACGCGTTGCATCCGGCCAACAGAAGAGCCCATAGCTGGGAGCTGCAGAGGCAGTGGCGACACGCGATGACGTGGAGGTGACGCGGTGCTTACAGGAGAGTTATGTACAGTGCCCACTTCACACACACACACACACACACACACACACACACACACACACAGACCGGTGTATTATTGACCGAGACTACTAGAAATCCGCGCCTCGTCTTCGCCGTCCAACCACCGATGCGCGAAATCAAATAAAGCACACCGTCGCCGCACCCGCGGAGCGCGCCAATCATCCGTGTCATCGCCACCGTCTCCGGCGAGGTACCCACGTGGCCGCTGTAAGTGCATGACGGCCACGTGTTGCGCGGCGGGGCGTGGCGGGGCGGGGCGGGGCGGGGCGGGGTGGGGCGGGGCGGGGCGGGCGCCGGGACGGCCGCAGAGGGACCGTGACTTCCCGCCCACATGGCGGCCGTCGCGCCTGCGCAAGTGATGCAAGCCATTGTCCCGTTAAACAGGCGGCGCGCGGTTTTGTCGCGGGTCGTGTGCCGCGCCGCGCCGTGCAGACCGTTTTGCGCGGACCGGCGCGCCTCGATAGCGTACCCGCGACACGAGGCACGGCACGGCACGCACTGCAGGCCAGAGAACGCCAGAGCACGCCGCACGCCCACCAACACAACGGCTGTCCGTTCCGAACGCGCACTGGTTTTCGCCCGGCACTGTTTTCTGGCACGACGACGCGCTCCGGTCGAAAGCGCGCGCTGCTCGTCGGGCCCTGGCCGGCCCTGGCCCGCAGGCTGGTTCTAAACAAAGACACTTCGTCTCTCTCGCACTCCCACGGAACGCTCCATGAGTGCGAGAGAGGCGGGGCGACGAGAGCGCGGTCCGGACGCAGCCCGCGGCAGCAGCGCAGCCTGCATCCTCCCCGAAAACTGGAAAATGCCGACTTTTCGGAGGGAAAGAGCAACAAGAAGAAGGAGGAGGACGAGGAAGGCCACGCCTGGTGGTTGTTGTTGTGCCGAGCGAACAGGTCACCCGAGTTTCTCCCCGGCCAGGTTGCCGGGCTTTGCCGGCCGGCCAGACAGGGCGCTGCACCGGCGGGCAGGGCGGCAAGGCAGGGCGGTGCGGAGGTACACTCCGTGCCAAGTGGCAAGGTGAGGCGAAACAGGACCAGGCCAAGTCCGCCTGCGTGCACGCCTGCAGGCCTCTCACTTTGGGGCGGGCTGTCACCTCGCCGCCGTGGAGGCGCGGACAAGCCGCGCACTCTTAAAACCTTACGAAGTATTTTGAGCATACATATAACAAACTAAAATACTTTGTTATACGAAGAAATAGTTCGTAAATTACGAAGTATTTTCTTTGTACGCTTACGTATGCTCAAAATACTTTGTTATACAAACTACTTTTCTTTGTAAGGCCCAAAATAGTTCGTAAGGTTTTCTCAGTGCGGACAAGGGCGGGCATGGAAAGCTGCCGGCACCGAGGGGGAAACGACTTCGGTTATCCGATGTACAGCAAATTGGTTATCCGCTATCCGGATAACCAGAAATTTCGAAGTAATCCGGGGAAATTCCGAGGTAATCCGGGGTAATCCGGTGTAATCCAATGGTAATCCTGGAAATTTTTCGATGTAATCCGGAGGTAATCTGCGGGTTATCCGGGGTTATCCCTATCCGATGTACACAAAATTTCTCAGTCGTTTCCCCCTCGGCCGGCACGCTGAGCCCGTCAAGCCGCCGGGCACCGTGCTCGGGTCGGCAAAACACCGGCACCTTTTTTCGCACCTCTGGACGCATAGGTCAAAGTTCTTGGCGGCTGTGGCGGTACGAAAATGAATACCAACGTCTAGCCTAGACGAAAGCACTCGGTAATTTTGCCCGAATTTATTGCCGACTCGGTCGGGGAACAAAGTTGCAAGCAAAAGTGATTTTTTTTTTTTTAAAGTTCAGAAATGGTTGTAACAGTGACGACTCTTTTCCCCTCCGTGACCTGCGCCAGGCTGCCGTGGCCCCACAAAAACAGCAGGGATCCGTCGGGCGCGATAGAGGTGACGGAGTCAGTCATTTCAACGGAAACAGAGACAAAGGAAGAGAAAGACAGAGAAAGACTTTCGCTGGTGACAAACTCGTCCTGCGCCTAGACATGCCTGGGCCGGGCTGTCGGGCTGCCGGGTCTGGCCAGGGCGGTTCTGCGCGTGGTTGGGCCGGTACCGAGACGCTGACTGACGGAGGGGAAAAAAGAGAATGCAGAAGAAAAAAATCAAGCTCTAATGAATGTTATTATTCACTCGACAAAATGCGTCCAAAGCCGGTAGACATCCAAAGTTATTATCCTCTCGGCTGGTACGAGCAGTTCCGGGTATCGCCGACCCGACCGATCCGCGGCACCCCGCTGTTGGCGGGGGGTTTTGTGTCTGCAAAAATAATGGCAAGGCAAACGCCCCGCCGCGCATGCATGCCGTTCCCTGATTACGTGCTGTGCAGTGCTGTGACGCCGGATCGCGGGCCCTCGGCCGGGGCCGTGTTGTTGTGGATGCGATAGGGGGGCTCGGCGTGTGTCGCATAAGTCCGAGCGCATTACTTGCAGCCGCAGTGTAGGAGAAGCGCTCACAGCAGCGCGGCCCCCTGCCGCCATTTCTGCGGCCGCTGCACAGTGGGCCAGAAGCCGGCGGAGGCGGCCAAAACTCTCGACGCGTTTTGAGCTCCAGAGTCGCTAAATGGGACTCGAACCGAACGTGTGTCCCCACCAATGGATTGCTCTCCGAACGAGGAATCCTCTGGTGGGGTCACACGTTCGTTTCGAGGCCTGCTTAGCGACTCTGGAGCTCAAAACGCGTCAAGAGTTTTGGCCGCCTCCACCGGTCTTCTGGCCCACTGTGCGCTGGGCCCGCCCGTGTCGACCGCCACGACTGTCTCCCGACAACATCGGCTTCATGATGCCGACGCGATGAAACTTTGCCAACGGATGGCACGTCAGAAGATGTGCCCTCGGACGAGCAGGCATCGCCACTGCCACGTGCTTGATTCGATCTCGAAAGGTGCGAGTCCTACGCGGGATTGAGGCCCCTTGGCTACGCCGCGCGCTGCTCCGGTTGTCATGGTGACGAGCTCGTCGCCGCCGACGTGCCGGACTCTCGTCTCTCCGCGCGTTGGGGTCTCTGCGAGCCGCGCGACCTGGAGTCTGCTCATCGGTCTGTCTCTCTCGCACTCGTGGGGCGTTCCACGTAGGAGCGAGAGAGACAGAGCGATGACTCCGTCTAAGCAGTGACTTCGCGCTCGGGGCCACCGCGTAGGACGGTCGACTCGAAAGTGACTTCTGGAGTGTGTTTCTGCATCCAGTCGCCGCTGTCGCCACTGGCTGGGCGTCGTGCCTTGCGTGGCCCGAGGCCCCCGAGCCCCCCAGGCCCCCGAGCCCCCCAGGCCCCCGGGGTCCGCGCCACGACACAAGCGGCTCTTTCAATGTCATCGGGCCGACGGGCCCACGCCAAAACGTCCCAAACCGTGCCTGATGGGGCAATCGGAACATCACCAGGAGTGTTGTCGGCAACCGGTTCGCTTCGTCGACTTGGTCCAACCCGACCGGCGCGGCGCGGCGGGAGTGGCTACACTGGCAGCGACACACACACAACGGCCGGCCCCGCCCAAGCCACTGCAGTCTCGCAACGCGCCGAGGACCCGAGGATTCGATCATCGGCCAAGTGGTTAGGTTAGGTTGCGGCCGGTCCGGGTCTCGGCCCGGGCCTTGGTCCGGGACTTGGTCCGGGACTCGGCCGGGCCGTCCCGTCGTGAAGAAAGTGGGATGCATAACGTAACGAGCCAAATCGCCAAACCGTTCTCTATCGTTACATCAACGGGGAGCCGCGGTCTTGTCACTGCGACATCCAGCGGCCAGGGTGCTGCACCCCTCCGTCGTGAAGGGCGTGGAGTACACCCTCCAGGGGGCGGCCGACGGGCACGTCGCAGGGATGCCGTCAGTTCGTGCCCGGGCGGCACCCTGTGGATGTCCCTTGTCTCCAGAAGCGCGATCATCCGCTTGCGGGTCACACTCACTCACGCACACGCACACATACGCAGTCACCCACCTGGCGGTCGCGGCCATGTCGTTATTCCAGCCAACGGAGGGCTGGGTCGGGCCGTGCCAATGTAAGCCAAGCCGTCACTCCGTGGTTCACTCCGTGGTTCACTCCCTTCACTCTGTTCACTCCGCTCAACGACCCCGGCGCACTGCACTGGACTGTCTCTGGGCGGCGCGGCTTCGGTGACTGGGGAGCCGGCCCGCGCGCCCGCGCCTCGCTCCGGAGGGGGCACCGGAGGGGCACGGAGGGGGCACGCGCCCCCCCTACCGCGCGGGAGAAGGGGGTAGTCCCCCCTCCCCCGGCGGACACAGCTGGTGTGGCTTTATTGTGCACCACAGCAGCACGTTCGAGATCGGTTCACTTTTTTTTTTACCAGTCGTCGATTACATCGATTTGCGCTGCGACTCGTATAAACACAACAACGGCGGTCGGGGCGGAAAAAAATGATCTGTCTCTTGAACTGGAGCAACCAGGCAAAACACTGCTCACAGTTTTATCGACGTTTTTCTGTCACAAAAATAATTTCTATTATTGTTACAGAAATCCGCGTATAGCAAAACTGTTACTTGTGCTGTCCTCAAAGCTGTTCCCACATGCTTTTCACTTCCAGTTTTTTAGAAAGTAGTTTGAACTTAAATTTCGGTTCGTGTGTTGAAAACAACGCTGTTCAAAGAGCTGACAAAATGGGTATTGAAAACTCTTCCCTTTTTAAAGCCCACGATCAAACGCTGCAGCGTAGAACACCTGTTTGAGAAATGGCCCTGTCTCACAAGGAGACTATCATCATCTGATTTATTGTGTCGATGAACGATGAATGGCCGCCTCCCTGACGTCACAGTGCATCAGTCCCAAAATAAAGCGGTCGTCGCACCAAATACGAAGCACTTTCTAAAGATACACGTCTGGCAACAGTGCGCACGGCGTACGTACGGGGATCATACACAGACGGTCGGGCTGGCGAACGCACGGACTGGGCCGCGCAGGGCACGGCAGGGCAGGGCAGGGCCCCACAGTACACAAAAGGCCGCTGCACCTCGCACCCACCTGCCGGCCTGCCCGGACCCGCCAGCACACTGTGCAATACTTACTTCATTTGGCAGTGCGGTGGTGGCGCGGCCATCTTTTTTAAAAAATCTCCACGCGTCCGGAAATTCGTCGGTATGCTTATTTCGGCGCGCCTCCCCGCCGCCGCCGCCGCCGGGCCGGCTCTGTCAAAATACGTCGTGCCTCGCCGGTCCCGCCGCGCGCCGCGCACGAGAGGAAGCGGTCGTGTTTAATCATTTTTTCCCTCCCTCCCTCCCTCCGCCCTTCTGCCGTCTTGAGTCAAAGCAATGAAAATTAAGAAGGAAAAGGCGTACCTTGACACAGTGCACCCGTAATCGTCGTGCAGGGAACACAGACCGCGGTTGCCTTAGCGACGCGTCGTGCTGTGGCAGTGGCGTGGCAGACTGGTGGCCCTACAGGGAAGTACCAGCGTCGAGTGCGGGCAGAGCGCCAAAATCGTTTCGCTTCGGGCCATCGCTTCCATTAGTTGTCTCTGCCTATCGGCCTGTGACTTCGCGTGGCTTGCAGTGCCCTGCCTCCCTCGCACCCACGAGGCGTCCCGCACGTTGCATTGGGGTGCACAAGAGAGACACGGCGACAAAGCGGCATACTAGCAAAGCAAGGCGGTTTCTTTATCATAATAAAATCGAGCGCGAGTCATTAGCGCGATGCTTAATTGGAGTGAATCGAGGCGGGGAAAGCGCGTTAGAGCGCAAAAAGAAACAGGCGCGTTCACCTTGACCGTGGCTGCGCTCCACATTGCCACAGTGTATCGCCTCGTCGGACAGAACGGCAAAGGCGGCACCCCGTGGCGTGGCCGTCGGTGTCCGCCCCTGCTAGGGGCAGGTGGGTTGCCTATCCGGTGCGCCCCGTGCCGGAGAAGAAGACCGTGAAGGTGGAGAGGCACTGACGGCGGGGCCCATGGCGGGGCCCATGGCGGGGCTCGAGGCAGCACGACAGGTTTACGTCATTCCGGGGCCGGGCTGAGCCGTGGCTGAGCCGGAGTCGAAATGCGACCTGCGACCTTTGGAACACGTTGGGAGGCGCGGGCCCGGACCTAGCGCACGCACACACGCACACGCGCGGGCACGTACCCACACTCGCGAGGCAGGATGTCATACCGCCTTCAGGAAGCGGCCGGCGAGCGGCGCCCCGCCGCAGCGCTACGGTAAGCCACGCGTTTCCGCGCACCCAGCGCCGCGTTAGTGAGGCTAGGGTTGCCGACCGACACGGCCGAAAAGAAGGGTCCTCTTTTCACACGCATTCGAAGCTAGGGTCGCCAACCGGAGCGACCGATAAGACGAGTTCGTTGTCCCCACGACCGCCCACGACGGATTTGGTGCCAGGGTTGCCTCCGGGACGGGTCGCTTTTTTCCCGCGGGGTACGCAGTGAACAGTCGCCGTCCTGACCCCCGGCCCTGGCCGGCACCGCACGGCCCCTGCAGGGACAGTGTCCCCGCCAGCCTGACTCACGCGCCGCAATGGACACGCGCCCACGCCAGTCACGCCGCCGAGAAGAACAAGAGGGCCGTGGGCTTGCAGGGCTTGCAGGGCCTGCAGGGCGCCAAGGCCGAGCGTAAGAGCGACTCCAAGAAGGCCGCGGGCCGCGGCGCCGTGGCCAAGCACGCGGAGCTCGAAAAGTGAGGGAGGCTGCGGAAATGTGAAGGCCGGGGCACGCGGGCTCCGCGACACCGCGCCGGTGACGCGGGTGCCGTCGCGTACCCCAGCGGGGCCAGCGGCGAAAGGTTGCTCTCACAATCAAGTCGACAAAATGGTTATTTGCTTTCTGCTGGCTTGTAAAGGAAAAACTAAACTCTAAGAATACAATGTGGGGAGTAAAGGCTGCGTCGTGGGGTGCCCGAACATGAGAACGTCTAAAGAACGAGACCAGGAGGGAAAGAGAAAGAGTGAAGAAAGCAGCCGGGTGGGCTTTCCTTTGCCCTGTGCAAGCCTGCGTGAGGCACTTGTGTGCACTTTGTCGTAACTGACGCCCTAACGCTCGCTCGTGCCTGAGCACCGGGTGGCAGAGAGCCTGGCGGGGCGGGGCGGGGCGGGGCGGGGCGGGGCGGGGCGGGGCGGGGCCGGCAGGGCGACGTCTCGGCTAATCTGATGTTGCCTCATGTCCACCAGGCTGCCGTGCCCGGCGAGGCCGTTGCGGGCCTCCTCCGTGACCCACGACATCAGCCCATCCGCCCTAAAAGCTAGCGCCCGCGACACACTTCAGCGGCGGACTTACACTGCGCCGCTCCAAAATAGTGCCTTACGGGAGATAATCACGAATTGTTGACGTTCGTCGCTGTTTCCACCAACTTTGCGGCAATGCTGCTCCAACATCAAGCCGGTCAGTGGCACACCCTCGCAAGGGCTCGCGCTGGGGAGGTCCAAAGACTACCGCCCTGTAGAATGAGAGCGATTAACCGGCTTGATCGGCCGCTGTGGCCGCCCAAAGTCAGCCCAAATCACGACTTCCAAACACTTTAACCGTTTTCTACGCCAATTCTGCGGCCACACTGTTAGGTCCCATCACTCCGGCGGGCCGGACCACCCCGAGGGCCCACACCTCACATCTCGGCATCTTATGTTGTTTTGTCTTTCTTTTCCAGGTGGGACTAGGGGGACGGGTTCGAATCCCGTGTCGCATTGGAGATTTTCCCGGCCTCCTGATACGCGCTGGCCTGCAGCGTTCACCTCGTTCGCGAAATGGACTTCCTCGCATTGTCTCCCAATGGGGCGGGCCGCTTGACAGGCCGCGGGCCGCGTGCTGCAGGGCGGTCTCTGGGCGGTCCGCCGCGTCGCTCCGTCTCCGTCGCACCGCCGGGGCGCTACGGCACGGCCCGCGAGTGCGAGAGAGACGGAGCAGCCTGCAGGCCGCTCACGAGGTGCATCGCGCGGTGCATCAAGTGGTGGCAAATGCAGCGGCAAATGGAGCGCAGCAATGTGCCTTATGTAAACAGTGGAGTAATGCCGCCAGCCCCGCCCCGCCACGCCCCGCCACGCCCCGCCACGCCACGCCCTGTAGAGCCCAGGGCTCGTGCCCCGCCAGCCCCGCCAGCCCCGCCACGGCGTGGCGCCAGCCAGCCAGCCGACAGAGACCTGACCCGGACCCGACCCACATCGCCCGGGCCGGCGCGGCCCGTCGTCCCGAGTCGCGTTTATGGAGAGGATTAATTAAAATCATTTGTTTTAGGCAACCGAGCCGCGCCGAGCCGCGCCGCTCAGGCCGCCGCGCTGAGCGTGGCTTCGGCGGGCCTAGGCTTCCTGGAGGTGCGCAACGACGCCCCCGAACCCAACATGGCACGCGTCGCGGGGCTCCCGAAAACGGGAGGCGGAAAAAAAACGGAAAAAGAGGGCCGTGGACGCGGGTGTTTGAACCGCGGTCCCTGGACGGGACGGCTTGTTTCCCTGACTGCCGGCGTGGCGTTGCTGACAAGCCAGAGTGCCGAAGGCCCGTTCATCACCTCCTGGGCGATGTCCTGGACGATGTTCTGGACGATAAACGTCGCCGGGTTGTTCGCCTGCTGACTTTTGAGGCACGAACTCAGCCTGATTACTTCTCCTTCTTCTTCTTCCCGGCGACGAGGGGAAGCGTGGCGAAGAAAGGCATGCAAAGCGTGATGACGCCGAAATGTGTCGAAAACCGCGGCGAAGCGGCAGAGGGAGGGGTGGGGGCTGCATTGCAGAGCGGAGTACAAGGGGCGCTGGGAGACGTGCTGTGCCGTGCCGTGCCGTGCCGTGCCGCCAGGCTGTGGAGGACGGGTTAAACCATTCGAACGACGAGGCAAATGTGTTTCGCGCAGATTTAAACTTATGGATGAGCACTCAGGTAACTCTAAGGTGAGATTCTGCGAGTACAGAGTGGCTTGTGTATTTGGAAGACGCCAGTGTCTGCAAAATTGTGCATGCAGAAAATGAAGAGGGTAGCCTCTTCTTAAAATGGCGCTCGGCTGGGAGGAGAGCGGGAGTCGAACCCACGACCTGCCGTCGTCGTCGTCGTGCCTCATGGGTGGATGGGTCAGGGCTCTCGGTAGCCCTTCACCGCGGGGCGTGGCGCGACGGGACAATGCGAGACGCGACGCGCGACCGCCCCGCCCCGCCCCGCCCCGCCCCGCCCCGCCCCGCCCCGC